AGTGCTGGGCCCGGGCTTGGAGAGGCTGCCCCGGGACAGCTACCTGGTGCAGTGGGGCCTTATCCTGGGCCTCGGGAAGCACGGGGTCTGTGGGTGGGAGGCTCCTGGGGTGGCCTGGGCAGCTCCCTCCGAGGGGACTGTCTGGAAGTGGGGCGACTACGTGGAGATTTTCGCAGGTTGGTGGGGCAGAGGGCGTTGAGGAGGGGCACTGTGGGTCTGGAGAACACTGGTGGCAGCACGAGGGGGGGCCTGAGGGTGCGCAGGAGGCGGGGCTGGCAGGACTGGCAGTGCTGAGCATCTGGCTCACTGACGTTTGTGTTTCTAGCTCATCAGAGCCGTGATGGGGTCCCTTGGCTGAGTCGGGGTGCACTAAGGAGATCCCTTTGGACCTTTGCAGGTCTCCAAGGAGAAAATGCGTGGTAACTGTTAGAACAAGGAAGCAGACCTTCAAGAAGGATGGCTGGGCTGGCAAGGAGGGGCGGGAGCCCATGAACTCATTCTGGGCTGTTTTGCTGTAGAGAGTGTTGTTCTCAAACTTCTTTTAACAGCAGAACCTCTTATTATTCCTCACTTAAAAGTATGTTTTTCACATGTAACTCAGTGAGTAGATGAAAACAAGGGTGTGCATGAGGTTCAGAGACCCTCCCAAAGTCCCCTCAGTGCCAGCAGAACTGGCTCAGAACACAGCGGCCACCAGGTAGGCACTGGGCGGCGTTGTCGAGGGTGTGAGGGGCGCATGTTTCCACGGCCGCGGGACCGTGCAGGCTCTGGTGGCATTTGGTAATCTGTCAGAATGTTTAAAATGCATTAGCTCTGACACAGAAATCCCACCTCTGGGAACTTACAAAGTACGTGCACAAGTGCATACAGACGCAGATGTAAAATGTGCATTGCCACCTTGGTGCACACGATAAACTGCAGACATCCATGTACCCGTCAGTAGCCAAACAGCTCAGCTGTGGAACATGCTGGCATGGAAGTCACCCAGAGTGCACTGTTCAGGGAAAAGGCAGGAGTCAGGCCAACGCCTGGCCAGTTTTGCTCAGTGGTCAGAGCACTGGCCTGCGGACCAGAGGGTCAGGGGTTTGATTCCGGGTCAAGGGCATGGACCTGGGTTGTAGGTTCAATCCCTGGCTCCAGTCAGGATCGTGCTGGAGGCAGCCAGTCAATGTGCCTGCCTCCCTCTCCCCTCCCCCTCTTCCTTTCCCTCCCTTCCTCCTTTTTTCCCTTCTTCCCTCTGTTCCTCCCTCCCTCCCTCCCTCCCTTCTTCCCTTCCACTCTGTCTAAAAAGAAGAAAATCAATGGGGACTAAACAATGAAGTGTGTATTATTTGCACGTTGCTGTATATTTTGAAGCGATCTGGACCAGCATATACCACATGCTGACGGGTTATCTCTGGGACATGGTATTAGAGGGACTTTCCTAAGCTTTGGTGACTGTCATTTCATTTTTCCCTTCAAGCACCTATTACTGTTGTAATAGAAACACCACCAACAAGCAGACACTGGTTAGAAAGATGCCAACCACTGCAGTTAGTGTGGGGAGGGGAGGCGAGAAGAGAAGGGCTGGTGCGGGTGGGGCAACTGGGCGCAGGGCATGTGGCTGAAGGGGACGGGAGTTGAGAGAGGAGGTCACAAGAAGTGACGCAGGATTGGGCAGAGGCTGGCCTCGGACCCTGCGGTCCCTTGTACTTCTGAACTAGCAGCCGGCACATGCCCGGCTGCTGCAGTGTGTGTCTTCAGCCCAAGCCCTGCACGGCGCCCCCATCTCGCCCCCGAAGCCTGTGCGCTGGCCCCAGGTCCACTGACAGTGCAGGCTGCGCACTGCTGGAGTGGTGCCCGGTGTCCCCGGGGTACGCAGAAGGCTGTCAGGAAGTGCTGTCAATCAAGCCATAGCAGTGATGTGTCTGTCCACCTTTAAAAACGGCAGTAGGACCGGAATGCCCTGACCGTGCTCTTTGTACGTTTTTCGTGCTTCTCAGCCTGTCCTAGTGTCCTTTTTCCTTTCTAAAGTTAGGTGATGACTAATGGTGGGCACAAAGCAGCCCATTTGCAGCGTTCGGCTCCTGCTCACTCAGGGCCCGGGCCTCTCTTCTGGCTCGAGTGCTTCACAGTCAGCCTGGCCCAGCAGGTCCGCTGGTTGGAGCTAGTTCCCGAATAGTGTTTTCTCGTCCCGGGAGCTCCATGCTGTTTGCCTCCACAACTAGGGCAGGCCGGGGGCCTGCAGGGAGGCTCGCTGCGGGCTGCTTGGCCCCCTTTCAGCTCCGCTCCCCACAGCTGGGCTTTTGTTGTTGACTTAAACAGCAGAAATCTACTTACTCACAATTCTGGAGCCAGAAATCTGCAATCAAGGTGGTGTTGGTAGGGTTGGTTTCTTTTGAGGTCTCTCTCCTTCCTTGGCTTGCAGATGTCCATCTTCTGTCCTCACATGGTCTTTTCTGTGTCTGTCCAGGTGGGCTTTCTACACGGCTCCTTTATTATCCAAAGACTGTCTCCTTGACTGAACGTTCGCCAGGTCAAGTGTGGGCAGTCCTTGAGATCTGAGGGTTTTCAGAAATGAGTACATTGAACATGGTCCACTTTTTGCTTTAAGAATTAAAACTTCTTTGGGGCCAGGTGAGGTTTGCTTGTAGAACTGAATTGTCACAACTTCCCTCCAAATGTCTATTTTATTTATTTTTGTTTGTTTTTACTGTGTCCTTTCAGATTTGTGTGAGGTTAATCAGTTTTCTTAAAAGTATAATTTCAAAACTCCCTTGTAACTTAAATCTGTAGCCGTGTGTTAACAAATGTGTTATCCAAGTATAATGGGTCCAGGAGTCCAGATGGTTCGTCTAGAGTTGTGGATCTGAGCTGAGATCTAAAAGAATTATTATTTTAAAAATGTTTTTATTGATTTTATGAGAGAGGAAGGGAGAGGGAGAAAGGATAGAAACACCAATTGGCCACCTTTCCTGTGTGCCCCACACTGGGGTCAGGCCTGCAGCTGTGTGTTCCTGGTGCATGGGGCGATGCCAGCCCACTGAGTTCCCTTGGCTGGGCCCTGAAAAAATTAGAATAAAACATGCTCCCTGTTTGCTTCCTCCCAAATGACTTACAGCTCTAAGAACACCCCTCCTTAGAAACAGAGAAGGTGCACCATTCATCGTGGGCATGTCTGAATCGAGGGCCTCAAATGACAAGACAGGTTTGGCCATTAATTCCTTAGAATGAATTCTCCGTGTCTTGTCTCTGAGTTAGAACCATTCATATGCAGTGAGCAGGCCCCAGTGGCGCTGTCGTTTGCAGGGATGAGCTGTAGCTGACGGAGCACAGGAGACATGGACACTGTCTGCACAGAGGACTGATGGACAGTCAGTGTGAGTGAGGGAGCACCGTCTGGTCGGCACTGCCCATTGGGGATGAGCCTTCTTGCCTGCCTTCCTTCCTTCCTCCCTTCCTTCCCTCCTTCCTTCCTCCTCACCTGAGGACATTTTTGCATTTATCTTCAGATAGAGCGGGAGCGAGAGAGGGAGGAAGAGGGAGACACATCGAGTGGCTGCCACCCACACAACCCAACCAGGGCTGGGGACAAACTGCAACCAAGGTACATGCCCTTAGCGGGAACTGAACCCGGACCTCTCTGGACTGCAGGCTGATGCTCTAACCGCTGAGCAAAACCAGCCAGGGCCTACCTTTTTTAAAGATTGTTGACCGGCTTTTAGTTTTTAGTTTCAACCGCTTGTTTTCAGAAGCTCGTCAGCCCTGGCCGGTGTGGCTGTTTGTGGTGCGTTGTGCCCTGCACCAAAGGTCCCAGATTGACTCCTAGTCAGAGCACATGCCCAGGTTGCAAGTTCAGTCCTTGGCCAGGGTATGTGCATTGTTTCTCTCTTAGAGCAATGAAGAAAGCAGACTTTCAAAAAATAAAACCTGTTGCCCTGGCTGGTTTTACACAGTGGTTAGAGCGTCGGCCCATGGACCAATGAGTCACAGGTTTGATTCTGGTCAAGGCCATGGACCTCGTTTGCTGTTCACCTCTGGCCCTGGTCAGGTTCGAGCAGGAGGTTGCCATCCATGTGTCCCTCTCACATTGATGTTTCTCTCGCTCTCTCCCTCTCCCTCCCTCCCTCTCTGTCTGAAGATAAATAGAAAAGTATCCTCGGGTGAGGATAAAAAAATAATAATAATTTAAAAAAATAAAGCATTACCCACTACTCAAATTTTAAAGTTGTGTGGGAGCAGCTGTCAGGCTGTTTCTCTGCCCTTAGATGCGGTTTTGTTGTTTGGGTGTAGTTTAGTAGTGACAGGGAGCATGGACTTCTGGGCCGCTGGTTGTAGCTGTGAGGAAGTGAAGGGTCCCGCCTTGAAAATGAGCTTGACCTGAAGGCAAGGCGTTTACATAACTGGTGGAGTCCCTCTCTCACCTGGGAAAGTTCCAATAGTTTCTAACCGATTTAGATTTTATGAATAGCTCTGTGGAAATTAGTCTTTATGTGAACAGGTTCAAGCATTAAAACATCAGCTAAAATTAGCTCCTGTTAGCTGGTGGTCTCCCGACTGGCCTGGAAATGGCTGACCTGAAAAGAAATGTATTTCAGCAAATTCTGCTCCCAGTTTGTCCCCAGATGTTAGAATGGTGGTTCATTCACTCAGCAGACATGTATGAACTTCTGGTCAAACTTTCATTCTTCCAGCAAATGCTGCCCGAGTGCAGGGACTAGGGAAAAGGCTGCGAGGGAGGCAGGGCGTCCCTGCCCTTAGCTGACGACGGGCGCTAACCATCGAGCTCGGGGAGCGTGCGTGGGGCCGCGCAGGCACTGCCAGCACAGGGTGCTTCCACTGTGCCTGCCTGAGGGCTCACGAGGAAGAGCCAGCCCTGCCCCAGGTGCACAGCCCAGGGAGGGGCAGACAGACAGCAGGCATCTACGAGAATGTGGGGAGACACGTCTGGGGTGCAGGGGGAGCCAGAGGTTGTGTCCATCCGAGCTGTGAATACTAATGACTGTCCTCTGACCCCGCAGCATGGACAAGGACAGCCCAGACATCCACCATGACCTGAGCGCCCTCAAGGCCAAGTTCCAGGAGATGCGGAAGGTTGTCGGCGCCATGCCTGGCCTCCACCTCAGCCCTGAGCAGCAGCAGCAACAGCTGCACAGCCTCCGGGAGCAGGTCAGGACCAAGAACGAACTTCTGCAGAAGTACAAGAGCCTCTGTATGTTTGAGGTCCCCAAGGACTAGATGGGCCCCTCGGGGGTTCCGAGAGCAAAAGAGCAGGCCATCTACTGCCGCCCAGCCCCAGTGTGCTCTCTGTGAAAGTGTTTCTCCTGGACCCCAGCTCTGAGCTGACAGCTGGCTGGGCGCTGACTGGGGCTTCCTTGTATGTCCGTACATCTAGGTGCTGGATAGCTGGAGAGCCTGCTGGTGGAAAGAAGGGTGTTTCTGGAGGCTGCAGAGGGCTGTAGGGCTCTGACCGGCCCCGGGGAGGGGCCATCTGCTGGGGGTGTGGACTCCATCTCTGCCTCGGTCTGTGTGCACCAGATATGGACTGCCGGTGCTGCGGGCCTTCCTGGAGCTCGTCGGACGCCGGAGGCTGTGCACCTGGCACACGGTGCCGAGGCTGTTGAGAGCACCGTTGGAAGACTCCAGGGTGGGGTTCTGTCCTGAGACAGTTTGTTTTCTTTGTATTTGAGCCAGTGAATGTAAGTAACTGTGTCCCTGGGGGTGGCACAAAGTCCCCCAGAGCCTTGTCCAGGTTCTCTGCCACCTGTGTGCTCTTGTTACTTGTAGCTGTTGTTCCCTTTGTCACTGTCACCCTCAGGCATCTCGGCCAGCCAGTCAGGGCCCAGGGACGGCCGAAGCACGTCCAGCCCCACGAGGGTGAGGGGCGTGTTTGCACAGCACAGGCAGGCTTCCAGGCAGGCCCCGCAGCCCAGCACGCCAGGCCCCCATCTTGTTTGGGAGAGTACTTCCCCTCTGGCCTTCTCACTGAAGAGCTGGCCGCAGCGCTGCTGCACTGCCACAGGCTCAGGGTGGGCCTTTGCTCAGAGCACGGCCACGCCAGGGGACTGACCATCTCTCAGCTGGGCGTCCCTCAGCCGGGCGTGAATCCGCTCTGAAGGGCGGTGGGGCGAGCTAAACCCAGAAGTTATGCAGCCCAGTCTGGTTCGTAAATGTTTGCAAACACCCCTAGTTTGCTACAGGTGGGAGGTGTTATTTGCATATTCTTCTCTTGCCTGTAAGGATGAGGTGAGAATAGTAACCGAATGTTGTTTAAATCTAGAAATGAGGGCGCACCCTGTGCTGACCGCTCAGGGGCTTAGCAGCTGCCTGCTGACCGACCTGTCGGCAGGTGTCTGGTTGAAGATGTGTTGGCAGGGCTCGGGTTCACATGGGCTGCAGACCACCCTCGGTGGCAGGCACATGGGGGACTCAGTTGGGGGGGTCAGGTTTCCATGCCGTTGGACAGAAGGGCAGGCTCTGAATTTAAATGGGTTTCACCTTTAGACTTCCTCCTTGGGGCTGTTATTTAACTGAATCAGTTAATTTCTTGAAATTTCAGGGTAGTGTGTGGGCCGGTTTTAAGGCCCTGACCAAGTACCATGAAACAGAAATATGGACCGCCGTGTCTCTGCACGGCAGAAATGTCACTGTTATGGCTGATGTTTTTCAAGAGTTTAATTAAAAGGACTTTGCTCTGCTCTCGGGACATCTTGGTGTTTGTACTGAGGAAGTCATAGTAGATATCTCCAGGGTGTTGAATATGTTCACTTTACTTAAACAAGACAGAATGAGCTGTGACGGCCCCCACCCTACACCCTTCCCTCCAGCCCCTGCACGTGCCTGGTCAACCCATGTGAGAATAGTCACCCTCTCAGGAGCTGGCATCTTTGCCCAAGGGCCCAGTTGGCCTGGTGCGTCAGCCTGCTGGGCCCGCCCATGTGGCCTGAGGGCCATCCCTCGTCACAGAAGTAGGTTAGTCCTGGGAGGGAGCAGCTGTCACCAGAGCTAGGCTGGAATCCCTCTTGGGACAATACGGAATGCCCTGGCAAAGCCAAGCGCCCTTATTTGGATTATTGGGTGGCAGGTACTTTCTGGTAAAGGTTGTTTTTTTTCATCCTCACCCAAGGACATTTTTCCATCTTTTGTTCAGATAGCGTGGGAGGGAGATAGAGGAAGAGAGAGAGACATTGATGTGAAAGGGACACATCGAGTGGCTACCACCCGCACGACCAACCAGGGCCGGGGACAAACCACAACCGAGGTACATGCCCTTAGCGGGAACCGAACCCAGGTCTCTCTGGACCGCAGGCCGACGCTCCAACTGCTGAGCCAAACTGGCCAGGGCTGGTAAAGATTTTTTTTAAATTGATTTTGAAAGGGAGGAGGAGAAAGAAACATCGATGAGCGAGCAGAACGTCTGTCAGGTGCCCCATGACTGCCCTCCGCCAGGGACAAACCTGCAATGTGGGCACGTGCCCTGATCAGGAATTGAACCAGCAACCTTTCAGTGCACGGGCCTATGCCCAGCCAACACACACTGGCCCGGGCAGATGGCAGGCACTTTATTTTATATCCTCACCTGAGGATATTTTTCCATTTTTCTTCGGATAGAGTGGGGGAGAGAAACAATCATCAATGTGAGAGAGACACGTCGACTGGTTACCTCCTGCATGACCCCCAACCAGGGCCAGGGAGGAACCACAACCGAGACATGCCTTGACTAGAATGGAACCCACGACTCACTGGCCAGTGCTCTAACCGCTGAGCCAAGCTGGCCAGGAGGCAGGCACTTTTTAAACATCACACTTAATTCTCACAGCAACCCAAACAAAGGCTGTTCTCTGTTTTCCTGGCGAAGGATTTGGGGCCTGGCTGGTGTCACTTTCTCCCATCTTACACAATTGAGAGTGGTCCTGAGTTGAGAGCCGGTGCCCTCGACTGCTGAGAAAAAGAGACCACAAGCAGAGAGAGGTGCTGGACCCTTCCCCTCCCCAGGGAGAAGGTGCTTCTGGAATTGGAGGCACCAGAAGCTGACGTGAACCCTCTCAGCCGACCGGGAGCTCCTGGAGAGGAGCCAGGCCCGCGCCCTGTACCAGCCTAACATCGGGTCAGTCCAAGGCTGTGTCCTTACCCGTGAAGGCAGGGCAGAGTGACACCTCACCCCTCTGAGCGTGTCAGCTTTGACGGCCTTCTGTCGCCCTGGGCCTGCACTGAGAACAGGACAGAACAGCTGGGGCGCAGTGCAGGGGGGCCCTCGTGGCTGGGCTGAGGGGAAGCGAGCAGGTGGGTGGCTTAAGAGGCATCTCCAGGAGGACCCTGAAATTCTTTATTTCTGTCCTAGATCATAAGGACCCATTCCCCAAATAGAAGGGCTTCAGCCCAGTCACCTTGGGGAGCCTTCTGTCCCGGGACAGCGGAAGCTGTTTTCAGAGTGCCAGGGTCATCCTGTTCTGGGGAAGGTGAGCGGAGCGCCACCCACCGCCTCCCTCCCACCCTTCCTCCAGCCGCGTAAGAGCAAAGACAGCAATGGGTTTTCATTCTCAATTACTTTATACAAAACAGTAACAGTAACGATGACTAGAGACTGTCTCACACACTTAAACACCTGAATTTTGTTCATGTTCACAAGACACTGGAACTACTATGAAAGTGCAATTGTTTTGTTGTTTTCCTTGGTGCAGTTTCTCACGTAGACAAGTCACTTGGCTGATTGGACCCACACCCCCTTAGTTTCAGGAGGGCAGAGGCTCCTGCCAGCTGTCATGGCAACCCTTCAGCGGGCAGGACGGGCTCCTGGGAGCCTAACTGGCTGATTGGCTTCCACACACATCCCCCCTCCCAATTCTGAGATCTCTGTAAGAAACCAGGCAAACACCCTCTGCTGGACCTGTGCCCTCCAGTCGGGGTGGCCCCTCCAGTCGGGGTGGCGGGGGCCAATGGCAATGGGGGGGGTCCCCACTATTATTCAGTTCTCTTTCCTTCCAGAGCAGATGACGGGCCCTTCTCAGTTGTTTTCACCTCCCCAGTTGGGGGGGCCCGGATCTGGGGAGGGAAGACGCCACTACACTCCAGCACGTGGCCGGGGCATCCAGGGCTGGCCCGCACAGACTGACTTCAACAAAAGGTCCTCGTCAGGGAGCAGAGGGCGGGGTCCTAGCTGATCACGCAGCGCTCCTTGTCCTTGGCCTGGCCGCCGCCCGCCTTCTCGCGGACGTACAGGAGGTCGCTGTGCACGCTGGGCCTGCGCGCGAAGGGCGCCACGATGCCGAACGCGTCGCCCAGGTCGCCGCCGCCCGCGCGCAGCAGCTTCTTGTTCCGCAGCAGCTTCTTGTGCAGCGCGTCGCAGTGCTGCGCGGACACCTTGCGGTGCAGGTCCGGGCTCATCTCGCTGGGCAGCTTGGCCATGGCGAAGAGCGCCCGGAACATCTGGTCCAGGCTGCTGTTCCTCTTGGCCGAGATCTGGAAGTAGGCGCAGCGCTGGGGGTCGTCGCCCACCAGCTGCTGGATCTCGGACGGCTCCACCTCGCGGTAGAAGTCCCGGTCGCCCTTGTTGCCACAGATGACCAGGGGCACATCCACGTTCTCCTTGGTTTTGCTCTTGAGGCAAGACTTGGTGTCGAGGATCTGCTGCTTGAGCCTCTGCACCTCCTCGAAGGAGTCGCGGTTGTCCAGGCTGAACACGAGAATGAACACGTCTCCTACAGGGGAGCAGAGCGCAAGAGAAGGTGAGGACGGCTGCCGGGGGGCAACTTAGGTTGGTCTAGCCTTTGGGGTGGCCCGGCCACCCAGGCTCCAGCCGCCGCGCGTCGCGTCAGGGGCTCAGACCTCTCCGCGAGCAGACTCCGTGCGCTGGCGGGCCGCAGACCGCGCCTCTCCGCCACTCCCTAGCAGGGGTCCCCGGCCCTCCCGCGGCGCAGCTCCGCCCCGGCCCCAGCCCGCGGCCCGGCTCACCTGTGAGGATGGAGAGGCGCCGCATGGCGGGGAACGGGTGGTTGCCAGAAGTGTCCAGGATGTCGAGCTGGTAGACCTCGCCGCGGATGGAGTAGAACTTGCGGTGGAAGTCCTCGATCGTGGGCGTGTAGGCCTCCTCGAAGTGGCCCGTGAGGAAGCGCGACACGATGGCCGTCTTGCCCACCTTGGACGAACCAAGGATGACCATGCGGTAGCAGTTCCGGGCCGGTATGCTGAGCTCCGAGTTGCTCGGGCACATCTTCTTGATCATCGCAGTCAGTTTCATTGGGCGGAGGGCTGGCGGGGCAGGCAGGTGCAGAGAGGAGCGCAGGGTGGCGGGGCTCTGCGGAGCTGGGCTGGGTCCAGGCTTGGCTCCCGCTGCTGCTCCGGCGCCCGGACAGAGTCGCTCTGGCTCTCCGCGCCCCGAGCCGCCTTTATGTGCAGCCGGCGCCGCCCCGCCCCGCGCGCCCCGCCCCCATGCGTCACGCCCGCCACTGCCTCCAGCGACGTTGGCGCACAGCAGCCCACTCCTCCCCCGCTGGGGCCAGGAAGCCGAGCCCAATCCCGGCCGGGGTCGCGCCGACCTGGCGCTTGTTTACACTGTCCGGTTAGCGGCCTGGCGGGGCTCGGACCCCGGGGCTTGGGCAAGGACTGCATCACGACATGCACACGCGCACACTCTCTCTGGCCTGTTTTCCAAGGGGATACTAGTAACACCGTGATCGCAGCAGCGTAATAGCAGGTACTTACCAGGTGGTAGTCACCGCCAGGGCTTTGTGTGCCTCATCTCAGCCCGGAAAACAGCCCACAACGCCGGTCCTCTTCCCGTCCCCAGGCTGCCGCTTCTTCCCGGGCCGCGCGCGCCGGCCACCAGAGGGCAGCAAAGAGCGCCGCACTCAGGACTGCAAGATGGGGTCTGGGGAGGTGTGGGTCACCCGCCTTGGGACGCCAGGCTGCACTCAGCTGGAGCCATGCCCCCCTCCCCCCCGCATTCTGCTGCAGACCCCAGCTTCTCCTTTCTTCCAACAAGAGGCGCTTTGGGGCCTGGTGGGTGTTCAGCTAGGGGTTGTCCCCATCCTTTTCGGTCTGCAACCCAAAAAGGACCAGAAACCTGCCCTTCTTTGTCAGGCCCAGGTCCACATTCCCCCCCCCCCCCCAGGGAGTCCCTTGGGCAAACGTTTCCATTTATAGTTGGGGAGCTGGGTTCTAAACCACAGGGAGCCCAGGAAGGTCCTGGGCTCACAGCAGTCTCTTGCCTTCTCTGGGCCTGGGGTTCTTTTTCTGGAAGGTGGTGGTTCTGGTTTTGCGACTGTGGATGAGAACGTGCAGTTTAGAAGGCAGGACCTGGTCATTACAACACAGTAAGTGACCCAGGACTGGGCAGGTCGCGGGGTGGGGGGTGTCGGAGCAAACGAGGGCAGCAGCGGCTGATCAGTGACCAGGAGGGGGCTGGCCTACTGCCAGGCCTAGGGGGTAGGCTGCCTGGCGCAGAGCCCCAGCTGGGAGCCGGGGAAAAGCCCTTGCTCCTGGGGGGACTGAGGCCGAGCTGTGGCCATGTCTGAGTCTAGGAGTCTAGGAGTCTAGGGAGGGAGCCCTTTGCTGGTGCCACCACCCATCCACATGGGTCAGGGTGCCCTGGGCAGTGCTGGGGTGCCAGTCCACACCCCAGGCTGTTTGCACAGGGCCTGTGGAATCTGCTGCCTTGGAGAGGGGCTCTCAAGGTCATCTCTTCCAGCCCTTCTCTGAAAGGATTCCAGCAAAATTTCACCTGCTCCACGGGGCGGGGTGGGCAGGAGAGGGCTTATTCCATGCCAGGTGCTACCAGTCCTTCCTCGTGGCAACCTTCAGGGGTGAGAACTATCACTGTGTTACAGCGGGATAAGTTGAGACAGAGGGAGTGACTGACCCAGGGTGCCAGCTGCTAACTGCAGGGCTGGGGCCTGACCCGGGGCTCTTCCTCTCCTCCAGCTCAGCCCGGACGCCTGTGCCCCATTTGCAGGAGCACTGCTGCCCGGAGCGTCTGCCCCTCCCGCCTGTCCCTGGGCCTCCCCTGACTGTCGAGGAGGTAATTTCAAAGGCACACAGTGAGCACTCAAGGGCTACTACCTGGGCCTGCAGTGGGCTGGGACCCAGCGGGGTTCTCCACTGTGGTGATTCCTGTCCCTTCTGGACGTCAGCCCACCCCACAGAGTCCGGGTTACAAGGCTTGTTCTCCCATCAGCCAGTTCCCTGAGCCCCGCTGAGGCCCAGCGCCAGGCCCGTCCTGCAGGAAGCAGAGGCCTCGCCGGCGTGGGCTGCCTCCTTTCTGCGCTCTGCTTCACAGATGGCATCTCTGTGTTTACAAGTAAGACGTGTTCGTGTGTCTGAACTGTGCAGAAAGTTTCAGACAGGAATGGAGTGACCCCCACGGGAAGGAGCCCCCGCAGCCCGCGCACAGGTGACCCCTCGAGGCCGCCGGCACAGCTGCTAAGTGCAGCACCCTTTCCCGTTCTTACGGGGAGGCCATCGTGTACACCAGCCCCAGACTGGATGAGCGTTCTTTTCAACAGGTGAGCCCGTGCTCAGCCACGCAGAGCGGATGCCATCCCGGTGACCGCCGCTGGCCTGCCCAGCCCTGGCCTGGCACGGCCCTGCTTCCCGGCAGGCCCGCCGTGTCCTGCCAGCCGGAGCATTTCGTTTCTGTGTTCCAGGTTTGTAATGGTTACAAATGACTTGTTTTCTGTGTTTGCAACAAACAGCATTTATGAGGCTGAACCTGCCGGTAAATGTAATTTACTGCAGTCTAGCGATTTCCTGTTAAGAGTGGAATGGGGACTAGAAAAAATATCTGACCAAATGGTGGGGGGGGCAGCTGGACTCCCAGGCAGGACATTCTGCCACAGCCTAGTCTGGTGGCCCAGAGGCTGTAGAAGGTTCCTGAAGGCAGGCCCCCACCTGGGGTCGTGGCACGTGGACACTTCCGCTGGGCACCCACGTGTCCGGTCAGTGGGCATCGAGCCCATCCTGAGCAGCTCCTTACACAGAGGCCTCCAGCTCCCACCTGTCCTGGCACCCGGTCCACGGCCACTGCTGAAAAGGAAAGGGACCAAACTGTCAACCCCAAGAAAAAGTATACCCACCAAGAGGACCCGAATTCATAACCGAAGCCTGGCAGCCATTGTCCAGAGGCCTGTCATGGGCGCTGCGTCTCAGGGAAAGGCCACAGGCTGGGCCGCCAAGGCCTGACCGAGTTCCCGCCGGCCGAGCCGAGCACCCTCCCCGTCCGGCTAAACTGCTGCTCTACCTCATCTGCACCTTTAGTGACCACGCAGACCGGCTCCATGACAACCAGTCCTAACAGTGCAATTTGGGCCAATCAAAGTGTGAATTTGGAGTCCTCACTGGCACGAAATGAGGCCAAACAGGAGGAGGACGGAATTATTCTTTCTGAACCAGCCTCCCTTGTCTCGGTGGAACACACTGGTTTCTGCTGAAGACTATTTCCTTGGTTTGCTGTTTCACCTGAACTGTTTCACTCGAAGTTTCTCCCTGCCACGGCACCCCAGGTCGGGGACTGACTGGCACTGGACTGGTGTCAGGGGCCTTTGGTTGACAGGATGGGTCCGGCAGCGTCCTCCTCAGCCCTGAGCGAGCCAGCCCAGCCCCTGCTCTGGCCCAGGCCAGGCCCCTGCCTCTGTGGCATGGACCCAGGGGTGAGGGCACCTGGAGGAGCTCGGTCCTGCCTGGACAAAGGCACGCTCAGGTCACCAGGGCCAGCGTGCCAACGGCAGTGTACGCAGAGCTGTCTGTGAGGAATGAGCTCCCCGTTCCTAGGGGTGTGCAAACAGGCAGGGATCGAAGCATTGGGTATGATCAGACTAGATGCCGCGTGTGGTTTCTCGGGCCCTGAGAGAGACCTGGAGAAAGCCTGGCGGAGCTCCAAGGCTGCCCCAGGCCCAGCCAGTGCTGCTGAGCGCCTGCTGTCTGCACAAGCAGGCAGGGCTGCGGCGTCCCCTGGGGGCTGGAATGGGGAGGCCTGTCCCTAGGGCTCTGCCAGCGGCCCCAGATGGTCACACGGTCCACCCCTTGTGGTGACACGAGGTCTGTGAGGGCCTGGGAGAAATGTTAGCCGTCACTGGAGATGCCAAGTTCAGCTGGAGGAGTGGGGGAGGGGGGGAACTGTGGGCCCCGTTCTCAGGTCCCCCCAGGAAGCCCTCCCTGACAACACTGGAGCCCCCATTTCTCCCCTCAGGGTGAGACAGACCTGGGTTCCGACTGGTTCGCATTCTGTCACTCGTGTGTCCCCTGGGACAAGTTACCCAGCCTCTCTGAGCCCCACATCCTCTGCCACCAAACAGGTGACCCCAGCCTGTATATCCCCACGAGACACCACCTGTGTGGGGGCCAAGCAGGTGTGTGCCGAGTGTCCGGGGTCCATCCATCCGCCCCCACCCCACCTCAAGGATCGCTAGCAACGTGGAGATGTTAGCCACAGGGCCTTCCTGTGGCCGCACACGCCAGCCTCGGGGGTATCTCCACCCACCCAGGCCCTGCTAGGCCAGAGGGCTGAGTCCTCAGGTGGGCTCAGGCAGGGGGCGTGGCGGCTCGTTTGGACTTTCCTGATAACCTTCAGGTCACCCCACGAAGAGGACCTGTCTCCAAGGCCAGATGACCTGGGCTGGACCTGGTGGCCTGGGGTTCAGAGAAAATAGGCATCATGGTCCCACTTTCTTCAAATGCCTTAGTGCCCCAGGGGCCCAACTCCGGCCCAACCCCTTGGTCTGACCCGAGGGGGCGCAGCGTCTCGAGGCTGACGGCCCTCACTGGCCCAGTCCGGAGCTGACCCCAGGGCCTTGGCATGCCATCCACTGCCTCGGAGCATTCTTTCTCCAGTTCGCCCCTCTGGTCATTTGGGTCTCAGCTCAAACTCCACCTCCTTAGACAGCCGGGTCCCTCACAGCTGACCTGGCTCCTGCTTCCACCGGGTAATTTCATGTCACTCTAAAATGTTTTCAGCATATTTTTCACTCTCTGATCATTTTCCCTGGATGGCAGCTCACAAGGGCAGGAAACCCTTGGCATGTTAGGGTGCCGGGCCCCTCGCAGTGTGGTGACACCTCTACCCCAAGGCTGGGCTGGCTCCCTGAAGGGCACGAGCAGAGGAGGGGGATGTCCCGTCCTTGCCCAGTGTGGACACTGGTGCAGCCTCAGGGCTGTGAGGTTCGAGGGGGGCACCAGCCACCTGGACAGACAGACACCCAGAGGCTCAGGGGCCTTTATTGGTGACGAAATGTGACGAGGTTGGCTGGGGCTCGGGTCACGCGGTAGCACGTGCAAGGCCCCACGGCAACAGTTTCCAAGGCACTGGAGCGGCCACGCCAGCAGGCGCCGAGCAGCAGCCGGGCACCATTCACCCCTTCATTTGGCACTCGGGGGGCAGGCCGGGAGGTGCAGATGTCAGTGAGCCGGTCAGCTGCCCTTGCGGGACCGGCAGGCTTTCTGCCGGTAAATCTCAGTGGTGAAGGGCCTGCAGGGTGGAGAGGGCTCCAGTCAGCTGGGTGGGGCGATGCCAGCACCCCAGACCCTCCCCCCGGAGCATGGGCAGAGGGGTGTCCACGTGGGACCAGGAGGCCAGGGGCTGCCCATCACCACCTGTCAGGGGATCAGCCCCTATGACTACTGGGAGCTTCCTGCCTGCCCCTGTGGGCCGGGCGTGGGCAGGGTAGTCCTAGGCATGGGCCTGAGGGAGAGAGGCAGACAGACCGCCCGGCCCCTGGCGGCGCCTACTCACTCCTCATACAGGGTGGCAAGCACGTAGGTAAAGGCCACGACCGCAGTCAGCAGCAGGCCGGCGGGGCTGGCGTGCCTGTGGACAAGATGCGCGGACAGTCAGTGGGCAGGCCTGGCCCCGGGTGCCCTCCCTGCCAGGCTGGGTCCTGCAGCCGACGAGCGGAGCTGGTGGCCTGTCCTGAGTGTGGCTTTCTCTCGGACCAGGCCCCACCGTCCGGTCCTGACCCCTGAATGGTGCGGTGCCAGCCGGCGGCTCCGGTCCTCCTGGCAGGGTCTGCACCCCTTCTTGGGTCTCCAGCCGCCAGCTGGGAACTCAGGACAGCGCAGGAGTGAATCAGGGAAGGAGCAATGTGGCCTCTCAGGACCACCTACTGCCAACTGTGTCCTGTTCAGACAGGGACAGGAAGTGCTTCCCTGCCCACCAGTCACGATGTCCTGTTTTCTGAAGTGGGCCCAGGGCTCCCACAGCAGGCAGATTGCGCATGGGCCCCTGTGTGGGCTCTCTGCTGGGGACTGCACTGAGGGGCCTGGTGAGTCTGCTGTGGAACTGTCCCCCGTTTTTCCTGTAGCTGTGTGGACTCAGCAGGGGCCAGGCCACTGTGTCTAGACAGACGGGGGAGACAGTGAGGGCGGCCAGGGGAGCAGGCCCAAGGCGGGCTCCGCGTCCCCACCGCTGCCTCGTTCACAGGAGGACCCAGTGTGGAGGCTGGAGCGCCTGCGTGTGCCTGGGGTGGTGCAGGGTTGGATCCGGGGACCCAGCTGTGAAGCTTGGGCTAGAGACCGGGGTGGGGCTGCCTGAGGTGAGGCCCTGGTGCCTAGCCCCGGCCAGGTGCCCCCCGGAACTCCGCACCCCAGGCCTGCTGGGGCTCATGCACGCCTAGCTACTCAGACACGGAGCCCTGTCTGTAGGCCCAGGAGGGCGGGAGACAGGCTACCACGGCCTGGGAGTGGCCCTGCTGTGGCACATCGAAGCCCCATGAGTGGTTGCTCTCCAGGGGCTCTAGACGGAGGATGGGGAGGGCTCTGCGGCTGCAGCACAGCGGAGACCCTCTGTGTGTGGCTGTGCTGAGGTCCTCCCTAGGGTCCCTTGTGTGTTCCTGACAGCCCTGGGCTGGAGGGGGGCGTGGAGTGGTGACCTCTCCGTCCAGGGCACCGGGCACTAGCTGGAGCACAGAGGTGACCCACATGTGGGCTCTATCCTTGTAGAGTCAGATGAGACACCCATGGGGGAGCAGTCAGGGAAGTCTTCCTGGAGGAGAGTACACCTCAAACTGGGTTTGGAAGGACAGGCTCAGGGTAGAAGTGGGAAGGTACAGCCTGTGTGCTAATAGGGAGGAGGGACGGGGCTCATCCTGTCAGTCCTGGGGGGCATGTTGTGTGCAGCAGGTGAGTCTGGGGTAGCAGAGCCTGCCCCCAGGAGCCCATTGCCCAAGTTCGGGCAAGAGGAGCCACGGCTGTGTGGTCTGGAAGTGGAGGTGGGGTGTGCAGAGGGTCCCAGCCGGAGCTTCCCTCTAGGTCACTTCCAGCTCAGTGCTCTGGGATCGGCGGGGCAGGGGGGGAGCACAGGAAGGAACAGCTCAGTCCTGACTCTACCATCTGAGATTCACTCCTCTGGGTCCTGTGACCTCTGGTCTCTGAGCACCTGTCACATTCCAGGCAAGGGGTCTTCCAGCCCCCTTTAGACAAAAGCAGAACCCTTCCCACAAATCTTTCTGTGGAAGAAGCACGCACACAGACGGGACAAACTACAGCTACTCTGGGGGTGCGGGGCCCACAGCCCGGACCCCGCAATGGTCCCCGCACTCTCAACCACAGCTGAGACAGGACAGCGAGCCCTCTGGCCACTGCCTCCCACGGGCACAGGGGCTCTCCTGGCAGTGAAGAGTTCTGACAGTGCCAGGCCACGGGGGGTCCGGGGTCCTGGGAAGCCCCTGACCCCCGCGTGGGACCAGCGCCTGGGCCTCCAGCCTGTGTCCCAGCACGGCGGCCAGTCTCCAGTCCACAGGCCAGGACTGCTTTGTGCATCTTTATGTGATTTTTGTGACACCCGAAACTTGTACGAAATTCCAGTTCTAGCGTCCAGTGACACCATCACCCCTGCCCATCCACTTTCTCGTACAGGGCAGCCCTTCCTTGTGCGTGGGCCCAAGAGCCTCTCCCTCCGACCTGAGGGAAGTCTGCCACCCCGTTCCCGGTGCTGTGCCCACAGAGTCCTCCCAAGGAGCAGACAGCCTGGTGGCGTGAAGGCTGGCACCTTCCTGGCGCAGACGGCAGCAGAAGGTGGGCAGGAAGCCTGCTACTCACATGATGGCCCAGCCCAGGTAGTTGGCGGTGCTGCCCCAGTACATGGGGTTGTCCAGGATGTTAAACGGGAAGCTGGTCACTCTGGCCTCCTTGAGGATCCCGAAGTAGTCGCCTGTGGACAGGGGGCAGGTCAGGGGTCACGGCGACGCCTTCCTGAGGGCTGGCGTGGCGGGCTTGCCCTCTGGGAGGCTCCAGGCTGTTGGGACGCCAAGCTGGGGGCACCCCGGCAGGCCTGCTCAGGCCTTGGCCCTAAAGACAGATCGGGGGGCACTGCCGGCCTGCAGTCAGGACCTCCTCTCACAGACCCTGAGCCCCCTTCCCAGGCAGAAGTAGGCCAGCCACTGGCGAGGAACCGGCAGGAGCTGCGTCACCCGTCGTCTGGGGACAAAGGTGTGGGGCCAGGGAGGCAGGAAGTGGGGCGGTGGCCAGGCCCTAGCACAGAAACCGGCTTTGGGGCTGACGCACGGCAGGGAAGCAGCGGCCGTGCCCCACATCCTGAGCCTGAGGCCCCCAGTTCTAGGCCACTTCTCCAGGGGGTGCTCAGTGGCCGGTGTTCTCGGGCTCTCTCCACTCTCCGCCCACCCTACCCCCCGCCAAGTGAGTCTCAGCAAGTGGCCTGGCCACGCGCTGCCCACCGCACTGCCCTGGGCCAGGAGGGCGGGGGCATGCCAGCCGCGTCCTGGCTCTGTGCCCACTCTGGTCTCCAGGACTGCACTGGCCAGCAAGGTGCCCCCTTGCACAGGGCCCTCAGCCTTGGCACCTGGAATCTCGGCCCCACCTGTCCCACCTTCTCAATGCTGAGAGGGTTTCTCCAACCCATCCCATGGCCCCTGCCTCCCGGGGAGTGGTGCTCAGTCCGCTCATGGCCTTTGGGGATCCGAGTGCCCAGTGCTGTGAGCCTGCCCCACCCCCAGCCCTGGCCTCACTGACCCACCTGCCCGCCTGCCTCCCGCACCACCCGCCACTCACCCATGGGCTGGCTGCTTGCACTCAGGTCTTCCTCCTGCCCACCCACCTCCCCGCCAGACCCAGGTGGTCCGGACCTCTCCTCCCAGGTCCCTCTGCTGCCCCCACTTCTAGCCCAGCTCCCTGCAGCTCTGACCCAAGGAGGAGGCAGTGCCAGGAGCCGGTCCCAGCCCAGGCCCGGAGCACCGAGACAGCAAATGACCAGGAGCACCTAGACAAGCTGGGGCACCAGATACCACCCAGGCAGTGGACCACCTGAGCGTGTCCCCACAGCCGGCGGGGACACAGAGGGGAGGAGGGCCCAAGAACCCCTGACCCAGCCCACTGGTGAGCCAGGCACCTCCATGTCCCACTGCCTGCTGGGAGGGCTCCCCTTGCCCTTGCTGCTCCCTCCCTGGGCTTCTGAGTTGCTAGGAGTCACTGATGTCAGGAGGAATTCTGGCCAGGCCAGCATGAGCTCCCAGCCAAATCACCAGACCTGCTCCAGCCCCAGCTATGGACCAAACACAGCAGACCAGAGCCGGCCTGGCCCGGCCACCACACAGCTGGGTGAGGGCTGGGCCCACCTCCTAAGCCGAGCCCCGCCCCCTGATCTGAGCCCGCCCTGAACCAAGCCCCACCCCGAGCTGAGCGCGCCTTCTGAGCTGAGCCCCGCCCCCTCATCTGAGCCCTGCCCCTGAGCCGAGCCCCACCCCGAGCTGAGCTCGCCTTCTGAGCCGAGCCCCGCCCCCTGAGCCGAGCCCCGCCCCCGAGCCGAGCCCCCCCCTGAGCCGAGCCCCGCCCCCGAGCCGAGCCCCGCCCCCGAGCCGAGCCCTGCCCCTGAGCCGAGCCCCGCCCCCTGAGCCGAGCCCCGCCCCCTGAGCACCCATGGACAAGCTGGTCCTGGGGCGGGGCACTGCCCCACACCCCATGCAGACATCACAGAAGGCAGGGCATTCGGCCACCCCTGCTCCTTCCCTGGACCCTAATGGGTCAGCTCAGGCACCCCCACCCCACTCTCGGGGTCTCACCTAGGAAGGTCCCGGTGAAGCCCAGCGCAAAGAAGCTGGAGAGAACCAGCAGGCAGCCGACGCCCAGGAGCGCGAGGCCCAGCCAGCGGGCCGAGGGGTCCTGGAGGCTGTCCGTCGTGGGCTGGTTCAGCATGGCCTGTGTGAAGCTGCGGGCAGCGGGCGGAGGTGAGGGTCACTGCTGTGAACACGAGGCTGCCACCCTTCCCCCCACAACCCTGTGGCCCCCCGAGTACCAGCGCAGGGTCTCAAACTCAGTGCCTGAAGTGGCTGCAGGTGGGGTGCAGGCACCAGGAGAGCACTGTCCCCCTCAAGGGCGCCCCGAACCCCAGCTCCCTGCTGCCATGAGGACAGTGATGCAAATGGGGCCAGGCCTGCCAGACTGTTTGGGTTTTCAGGAGAAGTCAGGAACCCTAACCTGTAGACGGAGTTTCCTCCTTGTTTAAACTAGCCATCAATGAAAACTATTTTGGATTCTGTGCATGTCAGCAGGGTGGATTCAGCCCAAAGACTGGTGGTTTGCAAGCTCTCACCTTGGCCTGCTGGCCACCAGACTGTGGAAGAAAGCGAACCTCTGAAATTAGACATGCTTGCCCCGCACCTGGCGTGGATCACCTGGTCATGGTGCCCCTCCATCCGTGCCCTGAAGTCCCTTCTGCAGCCTCCTGGGCCCCTGTACGACACTGGCCACATCCCAAGTGACACCTCAGAGATCCTGTGACCTTCCCTTCACACCTGAAATGCCCAACAGTTTCCTCTGGGGCTGAGCCATGGAAGGCCTTGTCAAAGGGCAAGTGTATGGCCACAAGGCGTGACTATGTTGTTGGCTCTGAGACAGGTTCTCCAACAGGCTCCTGAAGACCAGAAGGCTGGGTGCAGCTCGGGCAAAGGGACCGGCCGGCACCTGGTGATGCGGAGGAGCAAGGGTTGGGGTCTGCCTCCCTAGGGAGCAGGCACTGCTGAGAGGGGCCCTCTCCAGACACAGGTGTGTGGGGACAACCATGATGTGCCACACACATACCCTTCCATTCCCGTGGTCATAGACACGACACTCTGGCCTCACCAGGACAGCCACTCAACCCTCACTTTGTACCACACATTCCTAGCAGGGCAGCTCTCTGTCCACCCACCCACAATCCTCCTACCCACCCATCTGTGTGTCCTCCATCCACCCATCCACCCATCCATCCTCCCACCCACCCACCTGTGTGTCCTCCATCTACCCATCCATCCATCCATCCATCCTCCCACCCACCCACCTGTGTGTCCTCCATCTACCCATCCATCCATCCATCCATCCACCCACCCACCCACCTGTGTGTCCTCCATCTACCCATCCATCCATCCATCCATCCATCCACCCACCCACCTGTGTGTCCTCCATCCACCGATCCATCCTCCTACCCACCCATCTGTGTGTCCTCCATCCACCCATCCATCCACCCACCCATCCATCCTCCCACCCACCCATCTGTGTGTCCTCCATCCACCCATCCATCCATCCATCCTCCTACCCACCCATCTGTGTGTCCTCCATCTACCCATCCATCCATCCATCCATCCATCCTCCCACCCACCTGTGTGTCCTCCATCCACCCATCCATCCTCCCACCCACCCATCTGTGTGTCCTCCATCTACCCATCCATCCATCCATCCATCCATCCTCCCACCCACCCATCTGTGTATCCTCCATCCACCCATCCATCCATCCATCCTCCTACCCACCCATCTGTGTGTCCTCCATCTACCCATCCATCCTCCTACCCACCCATCCGTGTGTCCTCCATCTACCCATCCATCCTCCTACCCACCCATCTGTGTGTCCTCCATCTACCCATCCATCCATCCATCCATCCATCCATCCTGCTACCCACCCATCTGTGTATCCTCCATCCACCCATCCATCCATCCACCCATCCGTGTGTCCTCCATCCACCCATCCATCCTCCCACCCATCCGTATGTCCTCTATCACCACCCATTTGTCCATCCTCTACCCACCCCTCTTCTATCCACCCCCCCACCCCTCTTCTACGCCCCCACCCCTCTTCTACCCACCCCTCTTCTATCCACCCCCCACCCCTCTTCTACCCACCCCCCACCCCTCTTCTACCCACCCATCCATCCATCCATCCGTCCATCCATCCATCATAAAGCACCTGTTTGCCAGGCTCGTGTGAGCAGAACAAACTCATCACCTTTATTTATTGCACTTGTAAGTTCACAGTCATAAAACTATCCTTCTGCTAAGCTCAAAACCTCCTTCCTGGAGCCCTTTCCTCCAACTGCCTTCAGCTTAGAGAGCAGAGGCTGCTTTTCCTTCCCAGGTACCTCCTGGCACCTGGTCCCCTCCAGGCTGCGGGGTCACCACGCACATCATCAGCACCCGCCTCCCCCCCCCCGCCCCGAGCAGGGAAAGGCCTGTGAATGAGTCACAGGACACCAGGCGCAGAAGCCTGCTCAGTGCCCTGTCACACAGAGGCATGTGTCAGGGCACCCCTGGCTGTGGTCATGCCGCCCCACCCCCAGCCCTTCTGCTGCCAGGGCGCGGGGTCACCCTGCAGCTACAGGCTGACGGTGGGACTGGCTCAGTGTCACACACACCCGGTGTTGGAGCAGGTCACCCCGCCCCGCCCCCCCATGCCTGCACCTGACTTCCCAGTAACCTGCAGCCAAGCAGCCCCAGCAGCTGGGCCACAGAGCAGGCAGTTTTGGCACCCAGCCCAACATCTCCCCACCTCTCCTGTCTGCACACGGAGCGGGGCACAGAGAGGCCGCGGGCCCTGGATCCTTGGCTTCCCCGCATAGAGAACCACGCCGGAGAGAGAATGAGAGCGGTACACGCGCCTCCCTGCTCTCGAGGGCTGGGGTGACCTCCCCCACCCCCCACACCTAGTCCTCCTGCCTGGGCAGACTCCCAGCCCAGACCGAGGGCAATGGGCCATCTGCCACGGGCTCTCTGGGGCACGCGGCCACTAGTGAAAGGGCTGCGGGCTCCGGGCAGAGCAGGGCTGGGCTCCAGATGGAGTGGCTGCCATGTGCCCGTGCGGAGCTGCTCGGGGCAGCTGTGCCCATGCTGCTGAGCATGGGCAGTGCCAAGCTTGGCCACGGGACTGTGGACAGTGGAAAGGACAGAGCCACGGTGACGCCAGGGATGCAGAATGGGGGTTCCCGGGGCCACAGTGAGGCCCAAGCTGAGATGTGACGGAAGAAAGTCGCCGGTGGGGGAGGGGTGGGCAGGCAGGGCATTCCAGCGGGGAGGCCTGCAGAGGAGCCCGGCCTGTGGTGAGAAGCTGTGGTGAGAAGCCCGGTGTGTTCTGCTGGGGAGGAGGAGCAGAGTGGGGAGACCGGGCACTGCCCAGAATGGAGCCGATTTGGGGCCCCGGGGGCCTCGGCATCCTGCTCATACGGCCTGCCCAGCTCCCCACCAGGGTTCGAGGCCCATCCAGGCCCTGTCCAGGCTGCAGGCCAAGTCCCAGCCCAGCCGAGCAGCAGGGCCAGATGAAGGGGCCTCGCTCCCACGGCTACACCCAAAGTGGCCCACCTGGGGTGGCTTCACGGGAAAAGCATCTGGCTAGAAGCAGACGGAGATTCCTGACAAAGGGCAGATCTAGGGCCCGTGATGGGGCCTCGGTCCCCCTGCCGCCCCTTCCATCCCTCACCGCGGGGGGAGAGGGTCCTGGGAGCACCTTGGTGTCCGGCTCCCCGCAGAGCGCTCCTGGGGCTCACTGGGGCCTCTCGGAAGAGAAGGGAGGCCAGGCGCACACGCGGCCATGGCCCGTGGCAGGTGCAGGGATGGCGTGGATGGCCAGCCAGGCGACCTGTGCCATTCCAGTCCCCCTCCGCCGGAGGGCACATTCCACTCCACTCGGGAGTCAGCGAGGGAACCAGCAGCTCTGAAGGCATGCGTCCGCGAGAGTGAAGTCAGAACCAGAGGCAATTTCCCTCAGAAACAGTCCACATGCGGTGGGAGAGGGGGGCAGGCCCATTTGTGGGTCAGGGTTCTATTTTTAAAACTTAAATTGAGCTTTTGGTCAGCAGTGTGACTTCAGGCTGTGCGCGGTCCCCTGAAATCCGGGAACCAGGCTGCACCGCCCGGGAGTCCTGGCACACGCGGGCGCCCGGCCCGGCCTCCGTGGCCCCGGCCCGCAGACCCCCGCAGACCCCCGCAGACCTCCGCAGACCCCGCGACCAAGGCCCTTCCTCAAGGCGAACGCCCAGCAGCCCCAGCTGCAGAGGTAAAACGGAGCCGCCCAGCCACCCCTTCGGCACAGCCCTTCCCCGCGCGCACAGCTAAGCCCCGCCCCTGCCCCGCCCCCACTCGGGCGAGCCCAAGCCCGCCCAGCCCCCGCCTTAGGGGTCACCCCGTACACACGTACTGGGGTCCCCAGTCAGCTAACCCAGTTGACTGAGGAGATGGCGGGAGGGGGGGGGGCTTTCACAGGAGGGACTGGAGGTCAGAGAGGGAAGTAAGACCCCCCAACACTTCCATGCTGGGGGGGTGGCGACCAGGGAGCCGCAGGGGCCTGGGAGCCACAGGGACTGCGTCCCCCACCCCTGCCAAGCCTGTGGGGGCCCACCCCACTCTCTGGCCGCGCACTCACCCCTTCACGACGACATCCTGTGGGCAGGTCCCGCCAGGCAGGGGGCAAAGCAGTGGCTGGTCCACAGCCTCGGGAAGAGAGCCCCCAGCTGATGTGGCACCCAGCTGCGGGTACCCAGAGGGCGCGGGAAGTCTGCTCCCCACCCCAGGAACATGCCCACCGCCCGTAGGGCACAGGGGTGGGAGCTGCCTGCCCTCACCCCTCCCCCGCACTCCCCATTCCCCAAGGCCCCGCGGGTCTGACACTGCCCCCACACAGCTCCACCAGGCAACCAGCGGGCACAGGGCTCTGGTGCCCCAGCACTCTGCACCTGCCCCGGGGCTGCTGTCTGGGCACTGAGGGTACAGTGCAGTCCTGCCAAACCCAGGCCCTGCTGGGCTGTCCACCCAGTGCCAGCCCAACAGACTCACAGTGGACAGTGGCTCCAGGCCCCCGGGCTGCAACCAGGCCAGCTGTGCCTAGGACACGCCCCCTATCCTTCACTGGTCTGGGGTAGCGGCCTCCAGGGGACCAGCCAGCTGGCTGCCCGGCCCTGCCCCTCTGTACCCGCCGCAACCTCTATGCCCCAGCCTCATGCCCGGCGGGCCGGATGCCCTGCAGTCTGGACAGGTGTGTCCCCACCTTTACGAGCGAGCGCGGGGCCCACGGAAAGAACAGACATGTTGGATTGTCCTAACAGACGAGTCCACAGGACAGAAAACAGTCTGTTCCAAGGGCTGGGGGAAGGGGCGGGGTGGGGACAGGGTCACCACTTAACGGGTTTGGGGTTATGTGTGAGGTGGAAAGTTCTGGAAGCAGACAAAAGTGGCCGCACACTGTGGGTGCACTGAATGGCACTGAACTGCGAACACACTAGGACCCCAGCGGGGCCCTGCAGCGTCCTGGAGGAGGGGCGAGAAGCTGGGGCAGGAGCCCGTGTCCACAGGACGCACTCGGAGTCCCCAAGGTGTCAGCCGTGAACGCAGCCCAGGCTCAGGCAGGCAGCACAGAGCGGGACCCGGGGCCACCTGCTGATCTGAAGCGGAGAGAGAGCTAGTCCTGCCTGTGAGCGTCCGGGGCAGTGCGGGCCAGGCAGGGGGACCGTGAGCGTCCGGGGCAGTGCGGGCCAGGCAGGGGGACCGCGAGCGTCCGGGGCAGTGCGGGCCAGGCAGGGGGACCGCGAGCGTCCGGGGCAGTGCGGGCCAGGCAGGGGGACCGTGAGCGTCCGGGGGCAGTGCGGGCCAGGCAGGGGGACGGGGGCAGTGCGAGCCAGGCAGGGGGACCGTGAGCGTCCGGGGGCAGTGCGGGCCAGGCAGGGGGACCGTGAGCGTCCGGGGCAGTGCGGGCCAGGCGGGGGGCCCGTGAGCGTCCGGGGCAGTGCGGGCCAGGCAGGGGGACCGTGAGCGTCCGGGGCAGTGCGGGCCAGGCAGGGGGGCCGTGAGCGTCCGGGGCAGTGCGGGCCAGGCAGGGGGACCGTGAGCGTCCGGGGCAGTGCGGGCCAGGCAGGGGGACCGTGAGCGTCCGGGGCAGTGCGGGCCAGGCAGGGGGACCGTGAGCGTCCGGGGCAGTGCGGGCCAGGCAGGGGGACCGTGAGCGTCCGGGGCAGTGCGGGCCAGGCAGGGGGACCGTGAGCGTCCGGGGGCAGTGCGGGCCAGGCAGGGGGACGGGGGCAGTGCGGGCCAGGCAGGGGGACCGTGAGCGTCCGGGGCAGTGCGGGCCAGGCAGGGGGACCGTGAGCGTCCGGGGGCAGTGCGGGCCAGGCAGGGGGACCGTGAGCGTCCGGGGCAGTGCGGGCCAGGCAGGGGGACCGTGAGCGTCCGGGGGCAGTGCGGGCCAGGCAGCGGGAGAGGCGCCCTCAGCACTGGCCCACCGTAGTGACATGGGCCCTGCTCCTGTCAGAAGGAAGGGGGCCGCACACTGGAGCCCGTCTGCTCAGGCACCTTGAGGCTCGACGCCTGCCCTCCAGACCAGGAAGTCGGGGCCACGCCCAGCGCCCACCTCACCAGCCCTGTCAGGACAGGCTTCTCCCGCTGGTCAGCTGCAGGGGGCAGGGTGGATGCAGCCTGTCCAGGGCAGGGCCCTCCCTTCCTTCAGGAGAGAGCTGTAGGCTGGCACCGTGGGCACAGACGGCAGGGCGGGGGGAGGCGGGGTGAGCAGTGAGTAGGTGTTGACACACTGAGCACTCCCATTCTGAGAGACCGTGATGGGGCCTCCCAGGTTCCCGGCCATCCCGTGATCTCTCTAAAGGTCGGTAGTCAGTTGGGCTCCGTGCGGGCCCAGGCCTCTCTGCCTGTATCCTTCATGGGCACTGCTCCCCGCTGGGCAGAGCCAGCGGTCACCTCCGGGGATGGTGTGGCTCACGGGACACACACCACCTTGACCCTCCTGGAGCCTGCTGTCAGCCACACAAGGACTTTAAGGCTGATGCGGCAGGAGGGGAGTGGGGCAGAGGCCCTGCCATGGGGGTGCAGGGAGGTGACCAGGATGAGCCGGGCCAGGTGAGGAGTCTGGTGTCCTCACTGCAGGGGAAGCTGGGGCCAGGCAGGGTCGGCTGCTTTGACCCCCAACAGCACAGCTACAGGCCATGCAGAGAAAGGACCTGGATGGAGGGAGAGGGGGAGGGTCCCGGTGTAGGCCGGACTGAGCAGGGAGAGTCAGGACACGAACAAAAATGCCTCCTAGGCCCGGTGTGGCTCAGTGGTCGAGTGTTGACCATGCACCAAGAGGTCACCAGTTCAATTCTTGGTCAGGGCACATGCCCAGGTTGTGGGCCTGATCCCCAGGGGGGGGCATGCAGGAGGCGGCCAGTCAGTGTTCTCTCTCATCGATGTTTCTATCTCTCTCTCTCCCTCTCCCTTCCTCTCTCTCTAAAATCAATGAAGGAAAACCAAAACCAAAAAAAGGCACTGAGCCAGAGAAGCCCCTGGGAAGGGCCAACACGATGGGTCAGGACAGCGGGGTCAGCTGGGTTTCCTCCGGCTCCCGCATGGGCTCCAACACCACCCCAAAGGGCTGCAGTGACTCTGGGTGCTGCAGGCAGGAGGCTGCCCAGGCCCGTGCTCGTGGTGGTGACTCAGGGAGCAGACGGGAAGCTCTGCACAGCCCCAGGCCAGACTGCTCACGGGCTGGGAGCCCGTTCCCAGCGGTGCGTGGTCCTGTGGTGGTCCCCGTGCCCAGGAGGCCTCCCCAGCTCAGTGCCCTTCCCTAGCCTCACCACTCCTGTCCGTCTCCCCCAGCCCTGGGAGGGGTGCCTGGGTTCAGAGGGTGGCCCTGAGGCTCCCAGCCGGGGGGTCAGCCCGAGGGTCCCCTCCCCATGGCGGGGGTGGGCAGAGGGCCCCATCCTCCCCCTCTAGATGTCCTCCCCTGTGAGCTGTAAAACCGGAACACACCTCTTCTCTCTGCACAGTGGGACCCTGCTCTTCCTGAACACTACAGCCGTGAGACGCTCCCTGGGGCAGAGAGCCAAGGCCCGGCCCCTGTGCAGGGAGTCAAACCTCTGGGGTACATCTCCATGTCATTCACCCAGAGCAGGCCCCACAGGCCCTGCCGAGACCCCTGAGATACGCACCCCTCGCCAGAAGACAGGCAGCCTGATGGCCACGGGGCACAGGCCTGTCTACACACTGCGCCACTCAGGCCTTGTCCTCCGTGCAGGAGTCCCAGGCAGGCGGCGCTGTCCCCTCCCAAGGACCCTTTTACAGGAGTCTAATGGCCCAGAAGGGGGGGTGATGCTGTGGCACCAGGCCTCAGAGAGCTGCGTCCCCAGTGCATCCCGAAACCACACTCCCATGTCCTGATGGACCCAACCCCCCAGCAGCAGCCACGCCACACTCAGAGGTCCTGATGCCCGCAGGGCAGCCAGCTGGGCGGGGGGCAGTCTTACCAGTGGGAGCGCAAGACATTCAGCAGCAGGATGACCCCACCCAGCGCATAGCAGCCCAGGTAGGGGGAGCCCAAGGCTCGGCTCAGCTTCCGGGTTTTGTGTTCCCATCTTGCAACCTGAACAGGGAGAGAAAAAAGCATTGTGAGAGGCGTGCTGGGGGAGACCGAGGTGAGGGTGGGGTGGTCACAGGCCTCTCTGCCCCAAGGCCCCGAGGCTCCGATTCCAAGGGAGACAACGGGGCAGCTCCTCAGGGGTGTCCACACATCCTGAGTCGTCTGGGTGGACCACAAGTCCTGCTGGAGGCGACCTCTGCCCAAACACCTCGAAACCTCAGGACGCAGAGAGAGACTCCCTAAGCAGCCATTCCTGCAGGCCTAGGCCCATCACATGGCTCCATCACATGGCTCCATCACACAGCTTTATCACATGACTCCATCACACGACTCTGTCACACACAGCTCTGTTATACACAGCTCCATCACACATGGCTCCATCACACATGGCTCCATCACACACGGCTCCGTCGCACAGCTCCATCACACAGCTTCATTACACACAGCTTTATCACATGGCTTTGTCACATACGGCTCCATCACACAGCTTCATCACACACAGCTTCATCACACACGGCTCCATCACACACGGCTCCGTCGCACAGCTCCATCACACACGGCTCCGTCGCACAGCTCCATCACACAGCTTCATTACACACAGCTTTATCACATGGCTTTGTCATACACGGCTCCATCACACACAGCTTCATCACACACAGCTCTGTCGCACATGGCTGTTGCACACGGCTCTATCACACACGGCTCCATCACACGCCTGTCCTCAGATTTTCTGTAAGTAACAGGCCGGGCTGGGGTGAAATGTATAAAAAGCAGAAGTGAGCCAGGTGCCTCCTGGGCCTCCCCTCAACTGGCTTGTGCTTGGCCCTGTGGCCCATCCTCCCAGAAGGTGAACAGGCCCTGTGCTTGGCCCCAGGCAGGTGGCCCTGCTGGCCCTGCGGGTAGTTGGCATCAGAAAGAGGGAGGGTGAGGGCTCGAGAGGCCCAGTGGCATACACATGGCCCTGTGGGGCCCAGGGTCACAGACCTCATACTCTGGCCTTTTTAAAAAAAAATTGAAATAAAATTTCAAAGTGGTTTAGCTGTACAACCATCACTGTGGTCTAATTCCAGAACATTCCCACCAGCCTACACAGAAACCCCATGACCATCACTATCACTCTCCACCCCCCGCCAGCCCCTGACCTACTTTCTGCCTGTTCTGGAAGTTTCATAAAACAGAACCACACAATATGTAACTTTTGACTCTGGTTTCTTTTACTTATTTGGGTCAACATGTTTTCACATCTCTTGGAAGTAGAATTGTTGGGTCATATGGTAAGTCTGTGCTTATTTATGTTTAACTATTTATGATAAAATCTCAAGGAAGCAGGTGTAGAGAAAAGTACCTCAACATAACAAAGACCATATATGACAAACCCACAGCTAATATCACACTCAATGGTGAAAAGCTGAACGCTTTTCCTGTGAGACCAGGAACAAGATAGGGATGCCCACTCTCTTCACTTTTATTCAAAATAACATTGGAAGTCCTAGCCAAAGCAATTAGGCAAGAAAAAGAAATAAAGGGCCTCCAAATCAGAAAGGAAGAAGTAGAACTCTCACTATTTGTAGATGACAAGATATTATATATAGAAAACCCTCAAGACTCCACCAAAAAAAAAAAAAGTTAGAATTAATAAAAAATCAGTAAACTTGCAGGATATAATATCAATATACAAAAACCTGGTGCACTTCCATACGCTAATAGTGAACTATCAGAAAGAGAAATGAAGAAAACAATCCCATTTACAATTGTATCACAACATAAAATACCTAGGAATAAATTTAACCTCGATGAAAGACCCTTGCATGGAAACTGTAAGACCCTGTTGAAAGAAATTGAGGAAGACACAAATATTCCATGCTCATGTATTAGAAGAATATTGTTAAAATGTCCATACTACACCAAGCAATCTATAGATTCAATGCAATTCTGATAAAAATTCCAACGGCATTTTCTTTTTTTTTTATCCTCACCCGAGGACATTTTTCCATTTTTTGTTCAGATAGAGTAGGAGGGAGAAAGAAACATCAATGTGAAAGGGACACATCGAGTGGCTGCCACCCGCACAACCAACCAGGGCCGGGGACAAACTGCAACCGAGGTACGTGCCCTTAGCGGGAACCGAACCCGGGTCTCTCTGGACCGAAGGCCGACCCTCTAACCGCTGAGCCAAACTGGCCAGGGCTCCAACGGCATTTTCACAGAAACAGAACAAACAGTCCTACAATTCATATGGAACCATGAAACCATCACACTCCCTGGCTTCAAACTAAATTACAGAGCTATAATAATCCAAACAGTTTGGTAGTGGTATAAAATCAGACACAGATAATGGACCAGAAGAGAGCCCAGAAATAAGCCCACACATATATGGGTCAATTAATTTATGATACAGGAACCAAGAATATACAATCTTCAATTAATGGTACTGGGAAAATTGGTCAGCCACATGCAAAAGAATAAAACTGGGCCCCTTTCTTACACCACACACAAAAAGCAAGTCAAACGGATCAAAGATGAGAACCTGAGACCTGAAACCATAAAACTCCTAGAAGAAAACATAGGCAGTAGACTCCTTGACATCCACCTTGGTGATGAGTTTTTTGGATTTGACACCAAAAGCAAAGGCAACCAAAAATAAACAAGTGGCACCCCATCAAACTAAAAAGCTCCTGCACAGCAAAGGAAACATCAACAGACCCAAGGGCAGGAGCAGACAGGCGAGGGAGCTCTGGGGAAGAGCGGGTCAGCCTCAGTCTAAGAGCCCAAGATGCTAACAGTAAGAATGACAGCAGCCATTGATTCAGCACCTAACAGTTCAAAGTCCTTTCACTTGAGCTCAACGAACCCTCAAACAGGTCTGGGGGAGAATGGTATTAGCTTTGTCTACATGGGAGGACGAGCCCTCGGGCTCCTACCCCAGCAGGGCTCCTTCTCTGCAGGCTCTGCCCGGAGGCCCCTCTTCTTCCCTTGTCCTTGGCCCACCTTATTCCTACTGTCATTTTAAGTTACAGCTTCAAAGTCCATTGATTTTCCCTGCCAGTTGGTGGGGTAATGCTTTTCAAAGGGACAGTGAAGCCTGCCAGGAATTACATGAGGTGTCATGACCTTACACCTGAGAGGCCTGAGACCCTCCTGCAGCCCGGCGTCCAAGGAGCGCAAGATGGGGACTCTGACGCCCGGCTGACAGACCCAGCCAGACCTGCCCACTGTCCTCCTTGCGTGGGGAAGCCAAGGCTGCTGTCTGGAGCAGTCTGTCCAGCTGTGACAGGAGCTGAAGTGGGAGAAGGCAGTGCTCTGTGCTTCTGCTGATGGCTCTGCCTCTCCGAGACCAGCCACCTGCTCACAGAGGGGGCAGTGCGGCCCATCCGCACGGTGGAATTCCATCAGCAGTACAAAGGCACAGTCGTCATCAACATTATGCTGAGCCAAAGGATGCAGATGCAGTCTGTCTAAGTCCATTTACATGAAGTTCCAAAGAGGCAGGAGCCCCACACTGACAGCAATCAGAGAGCAGTGGCTGGGGCAAGGGCTGCAGGCTGGTGGGAGGCTGACTGGGGAGGGCCATGAGAGAATCTTGCAGAAGGAAACGTTCTTTGTCTTGATCAGGGTGGTGGTCGCAATATAGGAGAGGGCATGAGAACCACACAGATCAACTACAGTCAAATAAAGTGAAGCTGCTCCGGCCACTTGAGACAACACTCATTTTCTGTCATTATTTTTTCAAACAGGTTTTCCATTTCTTGCTCTCTCTTTTCCTTCTGGCACCCTCATGATGTGGATGTGGGTACGCATGAAGTTGTCCCAGAGGCTCTTTCCACTATGCTCATTTTTTTTTATTCTTTTTTCTTTTTGCTGTTCTGATTGGGTGTTTTTTGCTTCCTTGTATTCCAAATCGATGGTTTGCTTCTCAGCTTCACCTACTCTACTGTTGATTCCCTGTAAATTATTCTTTTTTTTTTTTTTATCCTCACCCAGGGACATTTTTGCATTTATCTTCAGATAGAATGAGAGGGAGAGAGGAAGAGAGAGAGAAACATCAAGTGGCTGTCACCCACACGACCCCAACCGGGGGCCGGGGACAAACTGCAACTGAGGTATGTGCCCTTAGTGGGAACTGAACCCGGGGCTCTCTGGTCCGAAGGCTGATGCTCTAACCACTGAGCAAAACCAGACAGAGCCCTGTAAATTATTCTTTATTTCAGTTGGTGCCTCCTTCATTTCTGACTGGCCCTTTTTAATGCTCTTGAGGCCCTCACTAAATTCATTGAGCATCCTTATAACCAATGTTTTGAACTCTGCATCTGTTAGATTGCTTATCTCCATTTCATTTAGTTCTTTTCCTGGAGTTTTATTCTGTTTCATTTGGGACATGTTTCTTTGTCTCCTCATTTTGGCTGCTTCCCTGTTTGTTTCTATGTATTAGATAGGGTTGCTATGTCTCGTAGGCTTCGTAGGGTGGCCTATTGTTGTAGATGTCCTGCAGGGTCCAGTGGCACAGCCTCCCTGGTCACCCAACAGGCCCTCAAGGTGCACCCTCGTATGGACTGTACACCCTTCTGTTGTAATTGAGTCTTGATTGCTATTGGCTCATCAATGGGAGGGATTTACTCAGGCTGATCAGCTGCAAGGACTGGCTGTGCCCACTGACCACTGGCCTCTGACTACCTTGGAGGATCAGCTGTCCTGAGCCCAGCACACAGAGCAAAACTTACTTCAGCAGGGCTCTGGCACCCACTGAGTCCATTCTTTGAGTGTGTCACTTGTGGAGGTGGTTGGGTGGTGGTTCTTTGACATGGTCTAAAGCTGTCTACTGGGGGTGTGTTGGCTCTGGGGCAAAGTCAGCCACTGCCTGTGTTCTACCGGGGCCACCCGGCATAAGCTACAAAGTGATCCGCAGGTGGCTGCTTCTTGTGCTGGGCTTGGAGGTGCCCAGGCAAAGCCAAGTTGTGAACCAAGTCCTGCTGCTTCTAGTGCCAGGCCTGGGACCACTTAGTGAG